ACTGCTTGGCTGCCACATTCAGCCCATCCCATTGCTTTAAGATACCAGATAAATGCTATAATACTGTATGTTTTTCAGCAGAAATATGTGATTTCATAGAACCACAGAATCTTCATGATTTGAAAAGACCTCTGAGATCACCAAGTCCAACCACACACACACAAAAGACCCCCACAATCTTGGCCACTAGAACATGCCCTGAAGTGCCCTGTCTACATGCTTCCTAAGTCCCTCCAGGGATGGTGACTCCACCACCTCCCTGGGCAGGCTGTTCCAGTGCCTGACCACCTTCTCAAGAAAGTAATTCTTCCTAATATCTGATCTAAACCTTCCCTGTCCTTTGCTCTCCAGGGGACTGACTTGCTCTCCAGACCCCTCACCAGCTTGGTGGCTCTCCTTTTCTCCTTCATAGAAAAGTAATTTGGACCACCTCATTGTCACCCAGGGCACAGTCACACAGTTCCCTAGGAGGGTTCCCCCAGCCACCTCTGGTAAGGTCCACCATGAGTCTGTTTAAATCCTTATCAACAAGTACTATCTGTGTTTTTAAGTTGAGAAATTTCTTGATGCATTTGCTCTGGGTCTTAGAGGCAGGATGGGGTGAAAAACTGATTTTCCAATTCACCAAGGTAACCGGCTTTCCACAAACCGTCACCAATATTTCGCTTTGTCAAGTCTTGGGCTCTTGGAGCCAGGTGATTATGCAAGAATTTCAGCTTTTGAGAGCTTCCAGATTCCTCTCTGTTGTGTTACTTATGGCATTTATAGGTGCTTTGGAGCCTGGTCGAGCTTTCAGTTCCCCTCTACCTTGATGCAACTCAACCACCTCCACCCCAAAGCTGGTTCTCCACCAGCTCCTCACCTTCCCGTCCCAGCAGCACCCACAGCAGGGTGGCATTGCCAAAGGGGAGAGGGGACATCGCTTTTCACTCCCTCCCCACACCTTGGCAGTGTTTATTCCACCCTGTGCTCTTTGCAGTCCCAAAAGGAGGGTCAAAAATGACATTTCCACGGCAGACACATTTCAAGAGGAAAACCACTGCCGCCCCCAACACAGCTCTGCCTGGACACTGAGGACACTGATAAGCGGCTGTTGGCCCATAAGAATTCAAAGCATTTATCTAGATGAGCAGAAAAGCAGGCTCTGAGTGTCGCTCGTGCAGGTGGCTTTGCTGGAAGGGCTAGACCTGAAAATCAGGACACCAGACTTTCAGAGCCCAGCTTTCTCGCTGCCAGCCCTTTGCTTTCCCTGCTACACATTATTATCCCCATGAGAGGATTTTAACGATGATTCCAAGGCGAATTAATCATTAAGGGTGCTGACATTCCTTCTGCAGACCAGCCCCAAAACGTTTACATCCATTTGTACTCCTTAAAGACCATCAAGTAATTTCTAAGCAAGGAGCAGAGCGATGCTGTTATTAAGCATTAACACTATTCAGGGTCTATTCATCATCCCCTTTTGCAGACCCAGGGGTTACAAGGTCACCATGACCACCCACCACGGGCTGGAGGACAACTTCAGAACTGGCTTCTCAAGCCAAAGCAGTGGGACAGCAGTGAGGGATGTGGAGACATCCCCAAACTCCTTCTCGGGGGATGCTTTTTGCCCCAAAGCTGGGTGAGGTTGCTGGGAGAAGCAAAAGCCTCCTTGCTCCAGGTCAGGAGAAGGTGGAAACACCATCAGCGGAGAAATCCCTCACCTTTCAAGAGAACACAAGTGGGTGGTGGGTTAGGTACGAGAAATCCTTGAAATCCCCATCCAAAACACCCCACAGAGACATCACCTTGCACCAGAAAGTGCCAAGGCTTTGCATTAATCCCATCACTTTCCCCACCAGCATGGCAAGGAGCAGCCCTGGGAACTGAGGATGGGGAGGGGAAAGTTTGCTATTTCTTGCTCTACTTTTAATTCCCAGTGTGTTATTTTTTTACTTTTTTCCCCTTTTGCCTTGCTGCAAACTCCCCACACTGAGCCAGCAAGAAACACCCTTTCTCTTTAAAAACAAACTAACCCAAACTTTCTCCTCCAGCCATCTAATCCCAACTAATCACAGATTCCAGCAGAAGGAGTTGCCTCCTGTAACTATTATTATTCGTGCTTGTATTATTGCCCCAGTTTTAACATCCTCGGTAGACACAGAGCCAGGTGAGGGAGGGGGGGAAATCCCAAAAGCTGGTCTGGTCTGGGTCTCAGCAGCATTTATAATCTGGATTTGGCCACCTGCGGGACCATCTTCCGGACTTTGAGGTCCAACATGGAGCTGAACTCATCAGAAAGCTGGGCTTCCCTGGAAGTGCCAAATTATCAGCAGCCCTGTGCGGGCTCAAAAAAAGGGAAGCAGCAAAGCGGGGAGGACAGGGACTGAGACACGTATTCAGTTAATAACACACGCCTCCGCGGGCGAGGCAGAGCCTCGGGAGGGCCCCGAGCGAGGATGAGGCACCAGCTGCCTTCCTCCCACCTGGGCATCCTTCATCCCAACTCAGTGGTGGGCTCAGGTCCCTGTCCCCCTCCAGAGCATCGTCCCCAAGCCACATGGCCCTGCAACTGGGTGGTAGATGTGGATGGGTTTTGGTTGTCCCATTTGCCTGCCGATGCCAGCGAGGAGGAGGAGGAAGAGGAGGAGGAGGGAGATGGCTAAACCTGTCCTCCTTGCACAAAGCCTCCTCGTCTCCTTTCCTCCAAAAGCCTCGGGGTGAAATGAGGCGTGTGTGACCCCACCACGTAGGTGTCCATCTGTCAGCAGGCGCAACGCCTGCTCCACATCTTGCCCAATTCAATGGAATTTGACACATCAAAGGCACTTTCAGTTCCTGCGATGTCCTTGGAGGGCATGCAGCCGGGGGAGAGGACAAGGAACCTTCCCAACGCCCATTCCACATGGTCAGCCATCGGAGGAGCCAAGGAGGAACACCCCAGAGAGGAAAATCTAGCAAATAGCCCCAGGAAAATAGGTTTTGTGTGGCCTGTTGTTGGAGAAACACCTTGTTTTCTCTCCGGAAGCTTTCCCCCTGTCATCTCTAACTTTATTTGATTATATCTCCCGGTCCGATGGAAGATCTTGCTGGGGGTTGTTACCCGGGGCTGGGAAACCAGGAGAGCATCTTTTTGGCTGGACGCTGCTTTTTAGCTGGAGCGAAGCGTGCGGTGGAGGACCTGCCAGGGAAAGAGGGAAAGATGTGTGGCTGGTGCCTTACGAAAGGCTTTGGGAGGATGGGAACAAGGTGCGTTTCATCCAGCTGGGGCCACAAGCCGGGCTGAAAGGAAACGGCAAGCAATTACTCCAGCTGGAATCCGGCCAGGGTGTCTTGAAATACCAGCTTGCAAAACTTTCACCAAAACACGCCAACGGACCAGGTGTTTTCTAGGATAACAGATCTGGTCTGTAACTCCTGCAATCGGCCCCCGGGATCAGCAGAACCAGGAGAAAACCATTATCGGGGATTAATTCTGTAATGGATCCCAGGTCCCTTGAGACTCTCTGGGTCTGTTTGCTGAGCTCAGGACTTTGGGTACGGTGGCAGGAGAAAGACTTGTTCATTTTTGGCTCTGGAGGAAGAAGTCCCCTCCTCTTGCTCTGGGGAGGAACCCCTCCTGGCTCCTGACCCTGCTGGGTGCGTGCAGGTCTGACTGCACCCAGCAGAAGGCAGCAGTGAATGCAATTTTTTTTAGGGCTTTTTAGCTTTAAAGAGGGATTTGAATGATTTTACCTATCGTCTCCTGCAGGTAGAGCTTTGCTAAGCCCATGCTGGAGCGCGGAGGCAGCCGTGGAGAACCCCAACCCGGGCTCAGCGTGGAGAGATGGAAGGCAAGGTGCAATCAACCAAGCAAGGAGAGCAGATCTGGCACCCAAACCCAGTTGTTTTTTTTTTTAAAAAAGTATTAATCCTGGCACAAGGCTGCAAGAACTACAAGGGAACCAAGAATTCATTGTTTAGTGTCACCGGAGCCTTTTTCCACCCCAAAACCTCAGTCCCCAACTGCTCCGTGTTGCAGAGCACTGAGAGCCTCCCTGCTCCCCTCCTTGCCAGCCAAGGGCTCACAGCTGGAGGGATTTAGGATGGAGAGCAGTGCCTTGGAAACATGAAAGGAGACATGCAAACGTGTCCTGTGTCCATGCAAAGCCCGTGGCTTCGTGCTGGCATCCCCAAGAGCAAAATCATTGACCTCGTTGAGCAATGTCTTGAAAGGCAAAAAGAAAAGAAAAGGGCTGGAGATGACAGAGGGAGAATACACCCTCCCTGGCTACAGGCGGCCAGCACCCCCCAACTACCACCCCACACCCCGTGCTCTCTACAGAGCAGAAAAGCAGCAGAGAGGTCCATGGCCAGGCTCGGAGGAGACCAGCCCTCTTTCTCCCAGCCACGCCATCCCATTCAGCCTCCTCCAAGAAGCCCCAACTTGCCTTCAGCTCCCCAGTCGGGAGAGACAAAGCATCCCCCAAACCCTGCCCTGCTCCCGGGGTGATTGCAAACCACTTGTTTCCTGGAGTTGAGCTGTCTTTGACAGCCTGGGAGCAGCTCCAGGTCCTTAACTTTGCTTTACGTTTCGACATCCCGCGTCAATCGAAGGCGCTGGGAACCCTGCCCCGGGAGAGCTCCTCCAGCCTCCAAACCCAAATACAGCCCTCTCCAGCCTGCACAGACGAGGGTGGAAGGGAACTACACCTCTGCTAACGAAGCACCCAGCACCCGTTGAGAGGGAGTAAAAAGGGGGAAAAAGCAGAGGAGGGAGCGGGGCATCGTTATGCAACCTCGTTATCTAACGACCACGGAGACACCCTATAGGGGCTCTTTGTTTGCAGAGGGAAGGAGAGAGAAATGCCACCAATATCTGAGTCACTGGTTCACCAAGAGGCTCCGAAGTTATTTTCAGATGGAAACTTTTCCAGTTTCACATGATAATTTGGGAGGGCTGGCTAATTCCCTGGCTCCACCCACCACCTTGTAACCCAGCTCCCTGCTGCTCTTGCATATATAGATAGGTATGGCCCTACAACTGGGCGCAGACAGAAGAGCCTGGAGACAGAGGAAACCTCAACTTTCTTCCTTCCCCGCTGCCCTCCACCCGCTCCCACCATGAAGAGGGAAATACTAACCCTGGCCTTCGCTCGGTCCGTCTTTGTGGAGTTCATCTCCACGCTCATCTTCGTCTTCATCGGCCTCGGCTCAGCCCTGAAGTGGCCGTCTGCCCTCCCCAGCATTCTTCAGATCTCGCTGGCCTTCGGGCTGGCCATCGGCACCTTGGTGCAGGCATTTGGCCACATCAGCGGCGCCCACATCAACCCGGCGGTGACCATCGCCTTCTTCGTCGGGAACCAGATCTCCTTCCTCCGGACGCTCTTCTATGTCATCGCCCAACTGGTGGGGGCCATTGCCGGGGCTGGCATCCTCTACGGGGTGACACCGACCAACACCCGTGGCAACCTGGCCATCAATGCGGTAAGTCCTCCTGCCTGGAGGTGGCTCACCTCGCCAGGGGGAGGGGGGCTTGGCTTTCCTTTCCTTCCGAGCGAGGAGCTGGTGCCGGCATCAAGGTGGGGATCCAAATCCATAAGGATGGTTGGTGTCGGCACATTGTCCTGCAGGCACAGAGGGGATAGGAATGGGATAGGAGCAAACACCAGCGTAGCCAGCAGAGCATTGACATGACAGCTTTATTGTGTGGGGTAATGAATGGCATCGTTTTTTCCTCCTTAATAAGCGCTTCCTTTATCCTAAGGGCCCGAGTGAGTCACCCGCACCATCGGGATGTTCTTGACTGCAGCCTTTCCACCTGGAGATTAATGCTAGGATAGGAGCTGTGCCAGGACGGAGAGGGGAGGGCAGGGAGCAGAGACCAGTCAAACCAGTATGGGCAGGGGGAGCAGAAGCCCACTGTAACTGGTGCATCGGGAGAGCTGGGAAACGGAGGTGGATGGAGAGATGTGGTGGAGAAGAGCTGAAGAAGGAGCAAGGCACAGGAGGGTATGGAGAGGCTGTGGGTGGCAGGGGCTGCTGGAGGAGGAGGAGGAGACAGTGGGACCCTCTGAGATAAGCAGGGATGAGAGGAGCACGTCTCAAACCCTCAGGGCAGTGCTGGGAAACCACCTGAAAGGGGAGCGGTGGAGCTACAGCTCCAACCAGCACCAGGTCAGGACCCCCGGGAGCAGCACAGACACGTTGCAGAGGGTTGGATCGTTAGGATGAGGTCCTGCAACGCATCGTTTTCCCACCCACTCCCCGTCCCAAAACAGTCAGATTTAGCTAAAAACCGAGCTGCGATGGGTCAGGTCACTTTGCCCTTCCCATGCCCAGTGGGGTCGAGTCCATCTGACGGTCCCCAGTGGTTGGCACAGAGGCACTGGGACAACAACAACGTGTCTTACCCCCATGACCGCACCCCAACCTTCATCCCAACCCTCACCCTTCATCCTGTGCCCCACCGTGGTGGCTGCCAGTGCCTTCCCAGCCCCCTGGGGATGGGGGTGCTCCACAAAGCAGAGGGGAGAAGAGTCGGGATACGACAGCTTGCAAGGACCAAGGGGGCAAGAACTGCAGAAAAAAGGGGTCAAATCGGTGTGGGAATTGGTGGGAAAGTGCTGAGTGTTGTGGAGAAAGACATGAAAAGCCTGGAGAAGGGAGGGGCTCGGGGGACAGACAGATTTTGGAGCAATAAATAGAAAGAAAGATCATTTCTTCCCTTTTGGGGAAAGCAGCAGTGAGCCCAAGCAGTGGCCAGCACAGAACCTTGTGCTCCCAGGGCTGGACAGGGGACCTGGGGGCATTCTCATTTGTGGCTTTGCCAACCTAAATCCACCAGCAAAGCAGCCGAGAGCCCTCCCAGTGATGCCAAGCCCCAGGGGTGGTTAATTATGGTTGTTCTCGATGGTTCGCAGCTCAACAACAACACAACCCCTGGCCAGGCCCTCGTGGTGGAGATCATCCTCACCTTCCAGCTGGCCGCCTGCATCTTTGCATCCACGGATAACCGGAGGAACGGCAACGTGGGCTCCCCAGCACTGTCCATCGGCCTCTCAGTCGCTGTAGGGCACTTGGTGGGGGTGAGTGTCCAGGCAGGAGTGCAGGGGTCCCCAAAATACTCTCCTGTGGGTGGTCTCAGAGGGAGCTGCATTGGGAGGGCCACAAGTATGACACAGGTCATACTGGGGCTCCTTCTTCATGATGATGGGGGGGATCTGGCCCACTCTGTAAGAGGAACAGCACCCATTTTGTTCCCTGCTCCTGGAGAGTTGTTCGTACCTGGTAAGCAACATGATGCACCTTAACCTTGGTCTCCTTTCCACACCAACAGATCTACTTCACCGGCTGCTCCATGAACCCAGCCCGGTCCTTCGGGCCCGCGGTCATCGTGAGGAAGTTCAGCCCGGCACACTGGGTGAGCACTGGCAGCGTGCTGGGACAGGCTGGCCCACAGCGATTGCCTCAGGGGGGTCACAGGGGTGGGTGTTCCAGAGCCCGTCGCGGGCCTGGAAGGATAAAAGGGGGCTGGAGAACATGGGAGGTTGTCCCCCTTGATGCATGAGGAACAGAGCCAGCAAGAGAACAAGCATAAGCCCCCAGTGCAATGGTTCACACTGAGCTAAGGGCATCATCTGAGGTCCATGAAGCCCACAGAGAAGCCCAGCTTAGACTTTCAACTCGCCCAGCAAGCTCAGACCCAGCCTCACAGAGCAGGCTTGGTGCCACCACATCTTTGCACCCATAAAGAGCTCATTGTCTTCAGCAGGAGGGGATTTCAGCCCAAGAAGTGCACTGGAAGGGGTATTTGCATCTCTCCATGGGTTAGAAGACATGGAGCAGTGAGGGACGCCAGCATGATGGTGGGACCTGGTGCACCAGCCTCCTAGAACCTGCTCTCACCCCTCTCCCTTGTTGCTTTCTAGGTGTTCTGGGTTGGACCCATCCTCGGGGCTTGCTTGGCCGCTCTGCTCTACTTCTACATCCTTGTCCCCTACTGCATGAACATGTCAGACAGGGTTGCCATCGTCAAGGGCACCTACGAGTCAGAGGAGGAATGGGAAGAGAGGAGAGAGGAGAGAAAGAAATCCATGGAGCTGACCCCACCATAGGAACGGTTGAGAGAAAAAAAAAAAAAAAAAAAAAAAAAAACAAGCAAAAAAGAAGGGGGGGAAGCCCCCCAACATGGGCTCATGTGTGCACCAAAGCCAGACAATGAACATCCAGCTACAGTAGACTCTTAAGCGAAACTCTTTTAACTCAAAGGCCATCTGCGACACAGCAAGGAGTATGGCAGAGTCTGTGTATATAGTCCCTCTCTGTTGAGTGTGAGCGCTAGAACCTCTCCGAGCTTCTCTGCAGCCAACCAAGCCCAACCCAAGACCCTCAGCCCCGGGTAGCCCCTCATCTGGGGGTTTCCCACCCCCTCGGTGACATCCCTGCCCTCCCGGGGTGCCGTGATTTCCAGAGGGCTGACACCCCACCTCCTGGCATGCTCAGGGTCTCACCCCTGCGCCAGGTGGCCCAGGGGATGGATGGAGACACCATGTGGAGACCAGCAAAGAAGAAGGATGGCTTTGGGCAGGTGGGTGCAGCAAAAACCCCCCGTTTTCCCCTCACCCCACCACAGGGCCCACACTGCTCATAGATGCTCTTTCATGCATTAGCTGGTGCTGGTGAGTCTTATTTATTCGTGGCTGCAGAAAGGAACGTGATTTTTTTTTGGATTTTGTGTTGAGATCTTTGTAATATACTATATTATTTATTGTGAATAAAGGAAAATTTAAAAAAAAAAAAAACAAAACAATGGGCACAAATCTGCTCGGGTATCAAACTTTAGGTGGAAAAATGGGTTAAGCTGGGAACAGAGCCACCCCCAAGAGCCAGAGCAAGTGCTTGGACCCTTAAAGGCTGAGGGACTTGGGGCTTTTTAGTCTAGAGAAGATAAGACTGAAGGGATACCTGATCAATGCCTATCAATACTTAAGGATGGGTGTCAGGAGGATGGGGCCAGTCTGTTTCCAGTGGTGCCCAGTGACAGGACAAGAGGAAACGGGCACAAACTGGAGCATGAGAAGTTCTACCTAAACACAAGGAGGAACTTCTTGACTTTGAGGGTGGCAGAGCCTAGAAGAGACTACCCAGAGAGGTGGTGGGGTCTCCATCTCTGGAGACATTCCAAACCCTGCCTGGACATGTTCCTGTGCAGCCTGCTCTGGGTGGGACCTGCTCTGGAAGGGGGGGTTTGGACTAGATGATCTCCAGAGGTCTCTTCCAACCCCATAGCATTCTGTGACCCCAAATCCCAGGGCAGCCGGCACCACGAGCAGGAGGGGAGGGGAGGGGATAACCACCGATCCCAACAGAAGAGGAAAGGGGCATTAGTGTTGGAGCAGGACCAGGGCAGGAGGTGCCTCACAACTCAGGTCCAGGGCAGCTTGAAGCCCATCTCCGAGGGTGGCATGAGCAGGGAGGAGCCAGCAGCGATCCTTCAGGCGCTTCGCCGGTTTGACTCAGGGCTTTCTGCCATACCAGTTCTCCCAGACGGCTCCACAGGTGCCCTCAAAAACTGACCCACAACACTTCCCCAAACCCACACCTTCGCCCTGACCTTCTGCCGGGAGCCCTGCTCTTCCAGTTCTGCCACAACGCTCTGCCAAAACGCATCTTGCTCCTGACCTGGCCGTGGGACATTGTGTGCTGGTGCCAGCCCAGCAGCTCTCGAAATCCAGCCTCGTGCAACGCTCCACCACCGCAGCCCCTCTCCGAGCTGCAGAGAACCAGGTTTCTGCCCACCCAAGGAGCTGGGAGATGCTCTCCCGGGAGCTCCCCATCCCAGGTGGAGCTGGATCCCCATCAGACAGGTTATGCCGCCTTGGCACGGCGGTGCCAGGGAGGACAGGCAGCATCACCTCTATTTTTCACGTGCCCAAGCGGATTTACAGCCCAGGCTGCAGCACTGTATGAACCTGGGAAGCAGCAGATCCTTTTGTCCTTCATTTTCCTCTGCCCCTCCAGTTGGCAGCAGAAGAGGTTAGTGGCAAGAGGGAGGAGAAAAGGAGGTGGAAAAGCCCTAAAGGGGTCACACCAAGCAGCAGTGGAGCTAGGAAGCCATAAATACAACCCTGCCCCCCCATCTCAACCCTCCCACCTCACCCTCCTTGGGCTGAGGTCGACCCTCCTGTGCCTCAGTTTCCCCTTAGTCTTAAGGGGAATAGCATCAAGCTCCTTTCTCACCAGGAAAGGGCAGGAAGCTCTCATGAGTCAGGGGATGCTCTACAGACAGCATGAAAACACCTCCAGATGCCAGAGACAGCCCTCTCGGAGTGACCCACAGCAAAGTGTGGGGCTAGAGCAGGTTGGCATCACCCAGAGCCGCATCCCACAGTCTCCCTCCCCCACACCCCAAAGGTTCAGACCCCCCCAGAGCAGGGAATCCTCAGCACCCTCCTTGCTTTTCTGCTCTCAACCCCATCCACCCGCACGCCGGAGAATCTGGGATTCTCCTACTCCCCAACCCACAGTGGGAATAGGGGATCACCACAGCACCCCATGTTGGGGGGGGGCGCAGCCCACACCAGCAGGACCAACACCCAGGAGAGGAAACCCAGCCTGGGTGTGAGCCCTCCCCGGGGATGAATCAGAGGATCCTACAGCAGCTTTGAGTCAGCACAAAGAACATCCAGGACCGGGCTCCACAACAGGGGCAGGATGGTCCCACGCGGGGATGGGGTCGGTGGGAAGGGGCACAGGGATTTCATCCCCTTCCCCAACTCAGGGGAAGACCCCAAACCCCAGGGTAGATGTTGGCTGGAGCTTGATGAGGCCGGCAGCATCCCAACACGGTGCCGAGGTCCAGCGCTGAGCAGGAGCCCCAGCACCCCCACCCTTCTCAACGGTCCATATTGTGGTTAATCCAGGCAAAGAAGCTGCATTTAATCCAGGTGAAACCCTAATATCCATCTCCAGGCCCTTCCCTTTGCCCGGACAGAGCACAGGTCAGGGCTGAGAAAACCCTCAGGTCCTCCTGTCTGTTCTCACCCGCCCGGAAAGGGGAACAGCAGCGCTTAAAAACACATAGAGAACTATTTTTAAACCTTCAAGCTTTCTTCAGCCCCATTTTTAATGAGGTTGTTACAGCCAACCACCGGCTTTCAACACTCCCTTCACAGAAACAGCCATTTCGCAGAGAAAAAAAACTACCACATTTCAGGGGCAGACACAATCCCTGCACACACAAAATCTGCAGCTCGTTTTCCCAGCTTTCCCCCTCAAAAAAACCCAGAGCTTCCCTTGGGAAGCAGCGTCTCCCCACACACAGCTCCATCCCACACCCCCGCCCCCGCTTCCCCACGGCCCGGCAGATTCAGCCCTGCTCTGGTTATAAAAGTGAATTATGTTGATGTTTTTACTACCAGCTATTTCCCTCCCCCACCATTTTAAGGTATAGCACCAGGTGGAAATATTAGACCCAAACACCTCAGCATAAAACTCTTGTGCATATTTGCCCCAATTAAGAAGTGGAGGGAGAGGAGAGGGTTATTTCCCGAACGTGCCCACCAGCAATTTCTTTGCACTACAAGGATTTCACAGATTTTTTTTTTTCTCGTATCTTCTCCATTAACACGTAATTACTGCACAGCATTAAAAATTTCTTTTTTTTTTTTTTTCCTGGCAGGGAGGAAAACCCCAGCTATTTTCACATGTTGTAACAACCTTTCTTTACCCACATCAAAGGGCTTTCAGTCGATTTAAGGAAAGTCTCCACCAGCTCTGTTTGTCCCTCAAACGCAAGCTTTTTGGGCCATTGCAGAGACAGAAGGAACCAGGTGCTTGATGAGAAGCCAGACCCAGTGCCAATATTTCAATTAAATAAAGATTTATTTGTTTGGTTGTTTTTGTTTTTTCAATGGATTGAAAGTGTCTCTTTGCTTCAGGTCCCTGCCAAGGGTCAGCCCCAACTCTCTCCATCGTTCTGCCCCAGTGAGAAGGAAAAACACCCCACAATTTGGGAGCACACCCCCTCTCACCCTGCTACCGGTCCTGCTTGTTGAAAACAGGGTGAGAGATGGAAAAGGAACCCAGGGAAACCACAGGGAAGCCAGAAAAGCACTGCAGAGGATCCCCAGAAAGTCCAGGCAACACAGAGCAGCAAAGCTCATCTCCAGGATGGTTTCCACCACTTTGGTGAGACACCGACTCTGGGGTGATGTGAGCCACAAAGAAGCCAACCTAGGGATGTCCTCCCTCTGCACAGAGCTCCACACCACCCCGGGAGACACTCAAGGCTTGCAAGTAAAGGCGTTTCAGTGCATCTTCTGGGGCCGATGGGCAGAAACGCAGCCGATGGAGGAGAAACCTCAGTGCAGAGACATGGCAGAGGCAGGACTGGGTGTTGGTGTTAGTCACGGTATGGGCTGTACCAGCACCCACCTCCTCTTGAGCTCAAGCACCGAGTCCTCCCCCTCCTACTCAGCCTCTGCCCAGCCTATAGTTGCCACGGTCCCAATTCCTTACGAGCCAGGGAACAGCTCACCTGGCCATTGAGGGCCAACAGCCACCCTTCCTGTTGTCAACAGGCATCACCCCGGCCGGGTAATGAAGCTGCCACCTGAAGATCAGCCACCGTAATTTCTGTTTTGCTCAGTGGCTCTCATCATGCACGACTTGGCATTGGATGGACATCGGGTCAGGGTTTAGCACCCAACAGCATCAGCCACCACTGGGGTGAGGAGACACACAAATGGCAGAGTAAAGCCACCAGTGCCCTGCCTGGTCCTTGCTGGCTCCAGCATGGGCAGACCGAGGGAGATGCAGCACCAAAATACATGGAAATCAGGGAATGGTTTAGATGGGAAGGGACCTTAAAGATCACCCAGTGCCACTCACAGCCCAGGTTGCTCCAAGCCCCCTCCAACCTGGCCTTGAACCCCTCCAGGGATGGGGCAGCCCCAGCTTCTCTGGCCAACCTGGGCCAGGCTCTCACCACCCTCACACCAAAGAATTTCCTCCCAAGATCTCGCCTTAATCTCCCCTTTTTCAGCTTAAAACCCTTCCCCCTCGTCCCATCGCTCCCCTCCCTCATCAAGAGTCCCCCCCATCTCTCCTGGAGCCCCTTGAGGGACTGGAAGGGGCTCCAAGGTCTCCCCGGAGCCTTCTCTTCTCCAGGCTGAACCCCCCCAACTCTCTCAGCCCCCCCTCCCAGCAGAGGGGCTCCAGCCCTCCCAGCATCTCCAGGGCCTCCTCCGGCCCCGCTTCAAGAGGTCCATGTCCTTCTGATGTTGGGATCTCCAGATACAGGAAAAGATGAGTGTTGCCCCCACAATACCACACAACTAAAGAGAAGGGCAGAAGCTGTCCAGAGACCAGTCAGGGCCAGACTAGATCCACATGGTGTCTCCATTCCCACCTCAACACTCTCCTACAGCCCCAAAAATGCCTCTTAAAGATCAGCAGAGGTGGAAGTCATCAGCAGGTGCCCCACAGTGGGGGACTAAGAGGGGACAGGGTCAGCCTTTTCTGGCACCAGGCATGGGTGCTCTGGAGCAGCACCCATGGCAGAGTGATGGGTGCCCACTGCTGGGATGTTCCATGGACACAAGATATGGAGAAGCCTCACCAGAATAGGTCTACCTGAGGGACAAACCCCCAGTTCTTGCTTCCCCCCCCCCAAGAACAAACACATCGCCCCATGTGAAAACCAGATCCCCTCCCTCCCTGGCACGTGGGGACAGGAGGCTCAGCCCCAGCTGGATCCGGGCTCCCTTTCTGCT